CCCTCCTAGTTACCCGACCTTTTTACCCCTTCATTTAACCCTTCCCTTTACCCCTCCACTTTACCCCTTCATTTATTCCTTCCCTTTACCCCTTCCCTTTACCCCTTCATTTAACCCTTCCCTTTACCCCTCCACTTTACCCCTTCATTTATTCCTTCCCTTTACCCCTCCACTTTACCCCTTCATTTATCCCTTCCCTTTACCCCTCCACTTTACCCCTTCATTTATTCCTTCCCTTTACCCCTTCATTTATCCCTTCCCTTTACCCCTCCACTTTACCACTTCATTTATCCCTTCGCTTTACCCCTCCACTTTACCCCTTCATTTATCCCTTCCCTTTACCCCTTCCCTTCAGGAGAAAGTAACATTAAAATTAGAAATAGGAATAAATTAGAATTAGCAGAAAAAAATTAAATAGACGAATTAGTGGACACATTGATGGAAGAATAGATAATTAAATTGGGGGGAAAAGGTAGAATTCCTAGAATAGATTAGATTAAGAATAACATGAGAAAATTTATCTATTTGTCATGGTTTCAGTAGAATCTATTTAAAATATTTTCACCTTGAAGAAAAACAATAAATTGAAATGCATTTAGTATTGTTGAGAAAGGAGGAAAAAATTAGCAAACCTTCTGAAGACAAACTACAGTTTATTATACAGTGTACAGTATAAACTTGTTTATTAAACCTATTTTACTGAGTTTAAGATAGACCTATTACACTGAGCAAAGTATAAAACTGTTAAACCTATTTTACTGTAAAAAGTATATGACCTGTTTTTGACCTATTTTAACGAGTACAAGATAAACCTGCTTATTGAACCTATTTTACTGTGTACAGGATAAACCTGTTTATTAAACCTATCCTACTGCGTACAGGATAAACCTGTTCATTAAACCTATTCTACTGCGTACAGGATAAACCTGTTTATTAAACCTATTTTACTGCGTACAGGATAAACCTGTTTATTAAACCTATTCTACTGCGTACAGGATTAACATTAAACATACTACACTGGCAAACTGTACATTAAACCTATTTTACTGTGTACAGGATAAACCTGTTTATTAAACCTATTCTACTGCGTACAGGATAAACCTGTTCATTAAACCTATTTTACTGTATACAGGATAAACCTGTTTATTAAACCTTTTCTACTGAGTGCATAATAAACTTGTTTATTAAACCTATCGCATTGAGCATTTACAAAACAAAAGGTTGAAACTTTGCGTTGTTACATCACTATACTACCCTCCTCCTTTTATTATTAATCACCCTGTAAACGGTATTAATATCCGGGCAAGGAAATAGGGAGTTATTAATCCAAAACAGATCAAGGACATAAATATACTTGCAGGCATATTAAGTCCCAGGGTTTACAGTACACTCCATGTATACTATACTTTACTCGTGTATACTTTAATAACTCGTGTATTCTTTAATTTTCTTTTGTATACTTTAATACACTCGTGTATACTTTAATTTTCTATTGTATACTTTAATTTACTCCTGTATACTTTAATTTACTCGTGTATACTATACTTTAATCGTGTATACTTTAATTTACTCGTGTATTCTTTAATTTACTCTTGTATACTTTAATCTACTAGTGTATATTTTAATTTACTCGTGTATACTTTAATCTACTAGTGTATACTTTACTCGTGTATACTTTAATTTACTCGTGTATACTTTAATTTACTCGTGTATATTATACTTTACTCGTGTATACTTTAATTTACTCGTGTATTCCTTAATTTACTCGTGTATACTTTAATCTACTAGTGTATACTTTAATTTACTAGAGTATATCTTTTTTACTAGAGTATATTTAAATTTACTAGATAATACTTTATTTTATTAGAGTATGTTTTATTTTACTAGAGTATAATTTAATTTACTAGAGTATACTTTATTTTACTAGATTATACTTTAATTTACTAGAGTATAATTTGATTTACTAGAGTATACTTTAATTTACTAGAGTATACTTTAATTTACTTGTGAATACTTTATTTTACTCGTGCGAAATTTAATTTACTCGTGCATACATTAATATACTCGTGTATACTTTAATTTTCTTTTGTATACTTTACTTTACTCCTGTATACTTTAATTTACTAGTGTATACTTTAATAACATTAATCTACTATCGGTGCTTTAATTCAATTATGTATAATTTGATTAACTAGGGTAATTTACTTGTGTATACTTTAATTCACCAGTGCATACTAGCGTATATTTTAATTTACTCCTGTATACTTTACTTTACTAGGGTATACTTTAATTTACTCGTGTATACCTAACTATACTATACTATAGTGTATAGTTAAATTTACCAGCGTATACTTTAATTTACTCGTGTACACCTTACTATACTAGTGTATACTTCAGTTTACCAGTGTATACTTTAATTTACTCGTGTACACCTTACTATACTAGTGTATACTTCAGTTTACCAGTGTATACTTTAATTTACTCGTGTACACCTTACTATACTAGTGTATACTTCAGTTTACCAGTGTATACTTTAGTTTATCGTGCGTACTTTTTTCGTACAAGAATGTTTGTGTACTGCGTATGCGTTTTTTAGTATTCTCCGATTTGTTCATGTTACTATTTTTTCACTGAAGAACTCACCAAAAAACCCAACCGCATTTCTCAACAGTTACAGGCGATTTGAAAGCACTTAGTCGTCGGACCAAGTCTTTATAAGTTTCGGCGCCGGCTGGAGGCGCCCCGGCGCCTATTCTGACCTTCAAAACATACGGAGGAGAGCTTCCGGCGTTGCCAAGTTGAATCACAACACAGGGATTTAAGTAAACGAAACCATATCTTGATATATTCACTTGAGATCTTGTTTACCGTGCCTGGAGTCATCTAAACCGAGGGACGCGGGGGACGTCGCTGCCAAGTTGTAAAACTGACGCGGAGTCGGTCCGGTACAAAACCACGGAGAATTCTGAATGCACTTGGTTCAAGCATGCATCATGTTTTACAGATGGAAGATGAAGGGAGGGGGGGTGTACTCCTCTTGGCACAATATAAAGGGGTGGGGGTGGGGGGGACTTCTCATCCAGGTAAAATATAGATGTGGGGGGGGGGCTTTCTTTACCCGAAAACTTTTGGTTGTTGTACCCTGACTAAGTTGGAAGTTTTATATCCAGCTATGAGCTTTGGGCATTATTAAACCTGAAACCCTAGAATTATTTTTATTATTTCCTAAACCAAGGAATTATTTTTCATTGTTTTATTTTATAAGCTATAATTTTGAAATATGTAATGTTTTTCTAACTTTGTTTATGCCTTTTATTTTTACAACTACTATTATTTATTTTTATACCAATCTCTCTAATTTGTATTCTAGTGTATTAAATTTTCATACTAATACTTCTCATTTCGTGTACTAATTTCTTACATTTGAAATTGGGAGTTTTTAAAAACTTGTTTTCATGTGTTTATATCTAATTTTATGGACTTGTAAAGTTCATGTTAGGCTAAAGGGATATACGTAAGGTAGCCAAGGTTTTTTAGAAACAGCCAAAATCAAGAATCTCCAAATATTTGAATTTTCGTCTTAATTACTTGCATAATCGCTTTCTGATAAAATTGAAGTGAAAATGGCTTGATTGCAACCACAGGGCCGGGCGGTTTATGATTGTTTAAGGGGAGGTAAATATTTTTTAAAATATATCTATGAATAGACAAATATTTGATTGAAGAAGGTTCAGGGTCTCCGCATGTAAAATTCCTTGTAATCAATTCCTAAAAATTGCTGAAGGAGCTTAAAGCTGCCCTCTATAACTCTCCCTAGGCCCATGATATCATTTACTCTCAGAAAAATTTTAACCAAGAACTATCTCTTTTAATCCCGAGGGGAGGGTTTTTACGCCTTCTACCCCCCCCCCCATGTAATGTTGTTTTTAATGAACCAAAGCAATACTCCGGCAATTTATCTGTACTCCGACAAGAGGAAAAAACCAAATAGTTGAAACGTTTTAACTAAGTGAATAATCAAATCCACAAATAACTTTGCAATCTATAGTAATTACACTTAATACAACCGGGTTGATATTTTCAGAAGTATTTACAAATGTTTTAAACTACTCCATCAAACCCTCCGATCCTCACTCACTCCTTATCATCCCGACATAGCTAAAAAGTAAGCTATCTAATTATAGCATTTATAAATCGACATTCATTTTTACTATATATATTTTTTTGTAGGTTTGAAATATATCCAATTACGTGAATATTACCAACTTTTGTGTTCGAGTTAAGGAGCTGAGACACCTAGTCAACAAGTCAACAAGTCAACTAATCAACTAATCAACAAGTCAACCAATCAATTAGTCAAGTCAATCAATGTTCCTACAGAACATATTTTTGATTAAAGTTGAAATTGCAAAAGATAATTTTTTAACTCGATTTGGCAGAATAGCAAGCTTTTCATATTTGATACAATG